CAACATGGCAGAAACCAGTGGAGGGCCGGCTAAAGGTTAACGTGGATGCGGCTACTGGGGAGAGAGGACGACGGGGACTGGGATGGGTGGCCAGAAACGCAGCAGGTGATTTTGTGGCTGCTGGAGCAACTCCATGGCTAGGAAATTGCTCTACGAAAGAGGCAGAGTCGCTTGGGATCAGAGAGGCTTTGAGCTGGTTAAAAGAAAGCGGATGGGATCACGTTGATATTGAATCTGATGCGCTGCAAGTAGTCAAAGCTATTCAAAACGGAGGAAACTTTTCTCAGTTCGGGTTAATCGTGGAAGACATTAAAACCTTATTGCAATAATTTAATAGTATTTCTATTAAGTTTATTAGGCGATCAGCGAATCATGCCGCTCACGAGCTTGCTCGAGTAGCCGTTTCTTTGTCTGATAGTAAAATTTGGATATCTTCTCCTCCTAGTTGTATCCTTGTAGCTCTAAACCATGACATAAGTTTATTGTTTGCAAATAAAATATCATTGAAGACGTGCATGCAGAGCATTCTTGTCACGGCGGTAAGGCGAGTCATGGCGCCAGCTGACCGTCATATACTCATATCACCTAGGCAACAATTAGGCGACTAGTTGCACATTGTATACTATGAATTATTTATTATATACAAGGTAGTCAAAAGCTAGCGCTTGGGTGCTTGGGCGCTTAAGCGCACCAGGCACAGCGCAAATAAGGTTTAACGACTGAAGAATGACCAGGCACAGCTCCCTGTGTAAAGAACAGTTTAGGCACAGAAGCGCTGACGCGCGGAAGCTGAGAAAAGTGCACGCTTAAGTCACCAGGGCTGGGAAGCCTATTTTTTGGTTTGATACTACTTTAAATAATAAGCCCATGCTGATAATCAGACTTAGCCCATCCAAATAATAGGTAAAGACAACTTAAACCCATATTAAACCCTTCTTAGTCATGGGAAGGCTTCTATCTCGAGTCTTGACTTCATCATGACTCTCCTATGCTGCTATGTGCTCTACTTGCGCAACATGCTCAGCACTGAAACACATTCAACGAACCCACAGAAGCCAGAAACACATAAGGTGTCTTCTTCATCATCATCTTCCCATGTCCTTTCTTCTTTCTTTTTCAGCTTCTTGGTGATCCTTTCATTTTGTTCTTTCAGTCTATCTTCTTTCTTTACTTTTATCAGTTCTAGTCATCTATGCATACTTTATAGTTCTTTTTGCTTCTAATATATTTTATACAACTCAAACATATTATATGTACCTGACTACCAGATTACATTATATGTACTCTATATTATTTTATCTTGTTATACAGTATAACTCTATATATTACTACGTACTATTATCATTTCATATTTTAACTGTATAAAAACTTCATACAATCTAACTCAGTTAATAGTTTCATACACTAATCCATGCTATTCCTAGTGCTAAAAATGCAAAATCAACAAAGACAGACCCCACTTGTTTTTTCTTGTGAACAATGACTTTATTATGGTGAATCATGACTTTATTTTTAGAAATATGACCTTTTTATGCATTTAGATCAATATGATGTTGAATATGTCATATTTGATCACTCTAGAATAGTATACCTAATATTTTCTAAATAGTGAGCTTGACTCGAGTCAGGCGATCATTTTTGCGCCTTGTGCCTCAGGCGATACAAGTACTCTAGCGCCTTAAGTGTGCCTCACGACTTTGACTAACTTGATTATATTTGTAATCATATATACAATTATATACTACCTCTGTTCTACTAATATTGAAACATAAGTGACACGGTTATTACAGTAAGAATCATGCTTGTCACGGCGTCACCTAGGTGTCGCCTAGTCGCCGACTAGGCGTCCTGGCGCTAGGGACTGCTCGCCAGCTTCACTCGCCTCGCCAGATGAAGAGTAGTCGTGAATGGCATCGTCTAGGCGTCGTCTAGGCGCTGTTTTGGCGTCAAAGTCCTCGCTTTTTTGGAAAGTCGGACTGCTATGGGGCAGGCCCAGAACCCAAAATAAAAATAGATTTAGGCTTTAATTAAAAGCAAGCCCATAGTAATCTTCCTTACCGACGATTCGTTGCCCAAAGTCGTATAACCAAGCCAAGTCGCAGCCTCGTATAGTCGTAGGAAGCAGACGAACAACTCCACGAAGAAGACAAAGTCGCAGGTATGGCCCTCCTTGTCCCTCGCTCGCGGAAGCAGAGTAGCAGGCGACTCCCTAGTTCCCAGTCCCTGATCTCTTCTTCTTGGCTTCATTTTTTTTATTTTAATTAATTAAGTTGTGTATTTATATATATATATATATATATATATATAAAGGGTGTATTTTCATATAATGTGTATATATACACTTCTATATTACAGAATCAAGATATAATATGATATAATGATATACCCAACCTGTGAGACTTCTATTTTATTATATGTTCTAAATTATAAAATAATAAACTGTTAAAATAATCATAAAAACTGGTACATACTAATATATACTACATATGATATATATTTTGCATAGTTTAATTATATGTATGATTATATATATAATTATATACATAATTATATATATATATAAATATATAGGCGACTAGTCGCCTAGGCGGGCGCCTAATCGCCTAGGCGATATAGCAGTTGGCCGGCGCCGCGACTCGACTTACCGCCGTGACAAGTATGGTAAGAATAAAGTAAACATGATTTAGAGTCACACAAACTTTACCAAACTTGATATGGGGCAATTTATGTGGGATTTCCTGAAAAGGAAAAATGGACAATCTTGTCGGGACGGAGGGAGTATATAATTATACATAGCATTCTATTAAAATATTATTAATTTGTAATTTATTATATATGATATATTACTACTAAAATTGTATATTACTAATAGATTGTACTCCCTCGGTCCCAATTTGTAAGACACTTTACGGTTTACGATGTTTGACTGAAGACAAAGCAAATTGATCCCTGTCAACACTCAAATTAGTTTTAGAAAATAAAATTTACATATTCAAAAACTACATTAAAACCGTTACAAAGCCTGCGAAAAATAATTCAAATTTCATAAACTTTTGATATATAAAGTAAAAGGTTAAGAGTGATTTATGTTGACCAAGTGAATAGTAAATGTATCTTACAAATTGAGACTGATGGAGTATAATAATAATTGTATAATAAGTATGAATGTAATTTACAAGAAGTTATACTCCGTACTACATAAAGTTTATAGTAATTGCCCTAAATAGGACTAAAACTTGCCTAAAAATCACAAATGGGACTAAAGCCCTAAATCATTCACAAATAGGACTAAACATTAATTTTCTACCCTAAAGACCCCTAAGGGTATTAATTCATAATGAAATGTTTTAATTCATAAAAAATAGTAAAAAAATAATAAAATTGTAAAAAAATAATAAAAACATAATAAATTATTCATAACATAAAATTTTCAAAAAAAATAGATTTTTTTTAATTTAATATTAATAAAAAACAGTAAAAACCCATAAAAATAAAAGATATATGGATGCCTTTCCCACCGCCTCCCAGCACCACCACCTCTAATCAGTGATAAAATGCCATTTTTTAAAAATGCCAACAAAATGGCATTATTACTCTTGATAATACCAAAACTTTCATTAAAACTGCCAATAATATGGCATTACTAATGCATGTTGTCATTTTTTCTACGGTGATTGGAGCTGGTGGTGCTGGGGGTGGCAGAGACGATGGTGCATTTTTTTACGTTTTTTTAAATAATTAATTAAAAAAATTATTTTATGAATATTTTTTACGATTTTTATTATTTTTTACGATTTCATTATAAATTAAAACATTTCAAAAGCTACAAGGGCATATTCGTCCAAACCCACAAAATTAGTCCTACTAGGGAATTTAAAACAATGTAGTCCTATTTGTGATGGTTGGCTATCTTTTAGTCCTAGTTAGGTAATTCTCTCTAAAGTTTAATATTTTATTAATTTATAACATACAATAATAGTATATAATCCTATAAAATGTACCATGGAGCCTATGCTCTGAGGCTCTGAGCCACTGACTGTATGTGTGTACTGTGTATACTTCATATATTATACACTCTATATATATACAAATATATTGACATATATTACGTACAAAAATATACTCCCTCCGTCCCATTGGACTTTGCCATCTTTCCTTTTTTGGTTGTCCCAAAAAACTTTGCCACTTTCCCACTAAAGTAATTATTTTGTGGTTCTACTCATTTCTCTCTCCTTTGTACAAACTTCAACCACACAATTTTTACTATTCTTATTTCTCACCTAACTTAAGGAGTGCAAAGTCCATTGGGACGGAGGTAATATAACTTAATTTGTTAAAATATAAAAAAAAATCAATCAACCGAAGAGAAGAAATTATCGACTAGACAATAAGATGGGGAACCTGGGAACATACTGGTCATCTGCTTCCTACAAGAGAGTGCGACTTTGGGAGTTCTGTGCGTTCACCTGCTTCCTGCGAGTCTGCATCTGTAGACTCTACATCTTGACGATCTTCTAAGATTATTTGGGCTATTTATTAAAAGCCCAAAAATCGGTGACGCCTTATCCCCAAAAGCACGCCCGATGACTGAACGATGCCAGGGTCGCCTACTCTTCTTCTGGCGAGGCGAGAAACTGGCGACCACTCCCTAGTCCCTAGTGCCAGGATGCCCGGTAGCCGGCTAGGCGACGCCGTGCCAAGTATGACATGGAGACACTAAAAAAGGATTCTCTTAATACCCTGCCCACTTGCCTACCTACAATTCTTTAAACACGGTTCCATGTGGATTTCAGGCACACCAGGTTCCACGGCTACAAGCACCCGTTGTTAATTCTTACCTTTGTACACACGTATACTCGCTTCTAAAATTGTTAAGCTTTGAGTTTAATCCATGCATACCATAATATTTTGCTTGAAATGTATATGCAAAAAAAAAGAAGAGGAAAGAAAAAAGAAAATGATTCTGAATAATAGAGAACAGTCCAATCCAACCAACTCACCTTTTTGAAGCCTGCTATCAGTTTAATAGGAATCCACCCCTGTTCATCCATGTTTCCACGCAAAAACATGTCTTTAATTAAATTATCATTACTGCAACCAGTAGGTTAGGAGAACATGTCGTTAGATGTTTACAAAATGAACATCTCCGAAACAGCAAGAATACCTTAATAAAGGAAGAGGAGGCTGGAGAGACACTAACCTGAAATAATAATCTATCTGGTTTACTATTTTGCTATACAGCGGGGGATCCGGTGCGTGATATAAAAAAGGTGACATATGTGTAAACATTGGCATTCTAAATGACTCTTGATGTGGCGTTGGTACATAATACACAGGAGGTGCAGCTTCTGCATGCTCATTGAATATCAGTAGATTGTCAGATAAGTGATAAATTTAATCAAGTATAGACGTGATCTCAAAGACACATCTCACCGGGATAAATAATTGGGGTGCTGAATGGTCGAATGGGCATGGTTGGAGGAATAAATGGCGGAGGAGTAGGAGGTCCGCGAATGAAGGGCCTAGAGGAAAATCTTTGTGGAGGCATGTGGGCATCTCTACCACCAAACCCCCTATTATGACTCCATTCCTGATTAGTGCGCTCATGATCACGAGCACCACCATGGACAGGGTTATAGGATCCATCCCCACGAGGCCGTGGCCCCCCACTACCCCTTCTGTTGGGGTTTCGCGGGTGTTGATGCTCATTTCCACCTTGTGATTGAGATCCAAATCCTCTATGTCCACCATCCCGATTAACATTGTCTCTTGAAGAAGAAGATTCTGCACTAGAGTTACTAGATTTTTCAGCATATTGGGGGGGCATTTCACCAACCTCACTTTGTACCTGAAAGAGGCTTCCATTAGCTTGCACAGTGTTGCTAGAATTTCCACCACCGCGTTTAAAAGACCTCTGACGGTTTATAGCATGATTTGGAGTTGAACTAGCATTTCCGTTGTTAGAATGAAGATGCTTATGTGGAAATGAAGATGACGATATACAAGTTCCCTACAAAATGAACACATCAAAAGTGCAATTGCACCAAAATTATGATATCATTTGTAAATTGTAATATAACAGGTGTATCCATCATAGTGCCCAAGAGACAAGGTGCACAAAACAAAGAGCCAAGAGTTGTCTAGATTGAAGATGACATACAAGTAATGCAACTATGTATGGCTGAGTGCTAAATTATATAGAAGAAACAAGATATGCATAAATGAAGTGTCAAATACATGAAGGGAACAATTTTAGTGTTGCGAGTATTAATGTCAGAGTTGTAAACACAGGAAGACCCATTAACACACAAGGGAAGTTTTAGTTTTTATACAGATCACTATTACAAATGCATGGGGATGCAAAACAACCTGAGATACAGAAAGCAGGCCATCAGACGCAGCTCTAGGCATATCCGATCGTGCAGAAGCCTTGGTAGACTCTGATAGAGCAGGCCAAGAAACAGCACCCATAACTGCACCGAACTCATCTTTGGCACCATTAGGTTTATTCCAGGCTGGTTTCTTAGCAGCATTGTTCCCACTCCCAATATCATTCCCCGAGCTCTCTCCCTCAGCTCCTTCAGCAGCAGCCTCGGGCAATGGGGATGATGAATTACCAGATTTGGGCGCGGCAGCTTGTGAATGACAGGAATCAGAGGACATTCCGGATTGTTCAGGAGTGAGACTAGCAGTCGAATGAGAATGTGGAGACTGAGAATGTGGGTCTGGTTCAGAATCAGCCCCGCGGACAATCTGAGTCCATGCAGATGAAGCCCCACGCGCTGACAATGGCCGCCTAGGCTTGGGACTGTTGGTAACTTGAGAGCTGGTGTCAGCGGCAGCGATGCTCCCTGGGGAGTGATTATTAGTTGGAGAAGAAGCAGTAGCCATCACTCAAGACTTGGGTTTGCTTATCCTTAAGGCTAGAAAATTTCTGTCTAAAAAACTAGATAAGCCTCCAAATCAGGGTTCCAAAACCAGCACTATACTGAAGAACAGCCGATCGAACGACTATTCTATAAAGTCCAAAAAGGGATTTTGACAAAAAGAATAAAATTATGTCGAATAAAAACCGAAAATCGATTGCATTAAAATGTTTACATACACGCTAGAGAAGAGGGATGGATGGAGAGATGGATGAAACTAGACTAGGGTTTTTCCAAAGATTAGATAACGCCGGGAGGATCCTATCGGCGCTCCGTTCCGATAAAGCTGAGAGGAGGTCCTGAACCGACCGACGAAGGGCAACAAAAACACACAACGCAACAAAAGAGAGGCGAGTCTCTTCTCCCTCTCTCTCACTCCCCCTCCCAGCGCGTGCTATCCCCCTCCCACTTCCTTGCGTTTGTTTACTACGAGTAATAGTATTTTCAACCTTTAAAGTGGAGTTTGTCGGTCTACCATTATCGTCACATATCAAAAACTTCAAACCAGTTGTACTCGTAATTCTTTATACAGCAACATAAAGTTGTCCATGGGTGAAAACCGGTCGTCGTAAGAATATCCCCACATTTTCCAATGACTGGTCCTGACTCTTATTTATAGTCATAGCATAACTAACCATCAGAGGGAATTGTCTGCGCTGAAAGGTGAATGGCAGTCTGACATCAGAAGGAGTCAAGGTAAGACGGGGAATGAAATGTTTTTGGCCGTCAGTTGGCCCTGACAACATTTGGGCCTCAATAACATGCTTTCCAAGTCGGGTCACTAAAAGTCGGGTGTCATTACACAAACCCAATGATTGATCAAGATTCCTCATAAGCATCACAGTGGCACCCACTTTTAATTTGAGCTCATGGCTAGGTACTCCGGAACATTTGATTCCATTAAGGAATTCTGGAGAATTGATCTCTTGCAACAAACTACTATCAGAATCAGATAATGATGCAGAATCGGAGCTGAAATATGTCTTCATCTCTGATGGTAGTTGTGCGAGCATGTAATCATTAACCTTGTCCACCTCATCAACTGTTAGCGCAATTATTGCTCTTGACATTAAATATGACGGTGATGTGCATTGTGCTAAGAAATTGGGATATGTACTCTGGACAATAGAAGTAACTGGATCAGAAATCCAAGGCACGAGGAATTCTTCAGGTATGTCAATATATGATTCTCCATCCTCATTGTCACCTAGAACTCCGTCCCCTATCTTTAAAATCCAATCAATGAACCTTTTTATGTATGCAGAGTTAACATCGTCTGATCCACTTCGCACTCTCATGTTCTTCGTTAGCCTTAGTACCTTGCAAAAGGGCCAAATGAAGGATGAGTTTAAAGTCGGTAGCACAATTTCTTGCCTGCTACCCTTTGGAATTATCGGTAAAATCTGTCTAAAGTCTCCGCCAAAGACAATTGTCTTTCCACCAAAAGGTTTGCTCCCATCACAACCGTATGAATGTCGAAGAATATCCCGCATGGTTCGATCAAGAGCTTCATAGCAGTACTTATTAATCATGGGTGCCTCGTCCCAAATAATCAATTTCGTCTTTTGAATTAGCTTCGCAAGTGCACTTCCTGGCTTTATGTTGCAAGTTGAATCTTCTGCTGCTGTGAGTGGGATTTTAAACCTAGAAGTTACAATTCATTTTGTTAGTATTTATTTGGAATTATAAGTTTTAAAAACCAAAAAAGCGAACCTGGAATGTGTCGTTCTTCCACCTGGAAGGAGCAATGATGCGATCGCACTTGAAGCTACGTTCAACACAATATTTCCTTGATGCCTTATATATGCTGATAAGGTCTTCCACAGATATGTTTTCCCTGTACCGCCGTGCCCATATAAGAAGAACACACTGCCACGGTTGGCCTCTACAGAACTCATTATTGTCTCATAAACACGCCTTTGATCCTCCGTCAAGGCGGAAATTAATTTAGCATGTTCCTCCGCCAAAGCAAGTCTGACATATCTCAATTCCTCGTGTATCAAAACATCATCCAGAGAGGGAATGTCAAGATCTGTCACTCGAGGCATTCCGTCATAGTAGAATAGAGACTTTCCACGATGTTGTATAAGTTTTTCAACTTCCAACAAACAATAATTCTTTATTTGCTTCTCATCAAGCTGCAGTTCTGTAAAAAACATAATGGTTAGTGCAATTTTAATATTAATAAATTTAAGAAGTAATTAGAATATTTTTTAAATTTCTAAATGCTTAGATAATTAAATTTGTGTGTATCATAAACAAACAACACATCTTTAAATATGATGTTGTGGAAACAAATTATTAAACCAACTATTATCTAAAAATAGTTTATTAAATTATATATATTGAACTATTTATGAACACTTTTTAAGAGAAGTACTTCATATTTAAAAATTATCTATGACATAAGAGTAAATTTTACCCTGAGATCAATATGCAATTTATTACAATAAAAAGTTTCAAATTTTTGATATTAGTGAATAATGATCGTTAACTATAATATATATGAAAAGGTAATTTTTAATTTCAAAATATCTTGCATATTGTAAATCTACATCACTCTTAATATTGGCATTTATTAAATTTATCTAAATTTTAGGAATGCCATTAAATAATAAACATACCTTGATCATTGAGATTCTTCCTAATAGTGTAGAGTATATCATCAGATAGATATGGTCAACACTTCTCCCAAACCATACTGGGCATAGATAATGACTCTTGTAGTAAAAGATGAACAAATGTGACGTGAAGTTCATGCGTTGTTGCCCAATGACTTTGTTCTATAAGTCCATATATATATAGTCTTTATCGTCATTTAACATACTACGTGCAGAGCAAGCTTCTCTGAACGTCGAGTGTATGACTCCATCAACTGTTCTGAGTTCTTCAAAACTCCTGGCCCCCTTCACGACACCAAGGAGCATCCTTAAATAATATTTCTCTCCGGCTCCAGGTCGCATGAAGTATAGTCTTCCAATCGCGGTGCTTCTTTGTCTTGGTACCCACTCTCTTGTTTTGGTTTTCCACGTGAACTTGGTAGGAAATTCAGCATAAGTCAAGCTCCTAGCTTGAGGATACACACTGTTTGCATGCATCCAAGCTAGAAACTTAGTAATGTGGATTGTAGGACGTCTAAGAACAGAACTAACAGACTCTTTAGGATTATAGTACACACTATGTTGCCCAGGGAGATGAAAGCTTAGACGTTCAACTGCAACGTCCCTATAATGAATGTGGAATCCAAAGATTCTCCAAGCCGCTTCACATGCAGAGATATATCTACAATCGTAATACATTGTGATCTCATCAACCTTTTCTACCTTACGATTGTCGGATGCCTCAGAGAATGCTACTGTGATCCGATCATTACCCTTATTAATGTACTTGAAGAGGTATTTCACTGTCCGGGTTTGATTACACCACTCAACATTAATGTGAGCCCCATACTTGAGCAGTAATGTACGGTTATGAGGGATGACAAATCTATTGTCAAGAGAAGTCTCATTCTTCATTACACTCCTTCCATTGTCTCTTCTTCTGTAAATGGGAAATCCAAATGATGAAATATATCGGTATAGGACCCAAATGATGGAAAACTATTAATTTAGGACTTGAATGATTGAAAGTAGGCATGACAATGGGTCGGGGCGGGGCGGGTACTACAAGACCCAGACCCGCCCCGTGACTTGGCGGGGCGGGTCTGTCACGCCCCAGACCGCATCCGAGCCACGTAGACAACCGCCGTACAACCCGATAAGAACGACAACAGTTCATCCCTATTGAATTGTACAAGGCGTCCGATTGATTCTATTGCCAAACCGATTAGTAAACACATACAATCAACATCAATATCATAATCAAACAAATGCGGAAATAATAATATGTTTGATACTTAGCCACACGTGGCAAACACGGGCACGCAGGCCCCCAACTGTTTTAATGAAAACATTGTTCAAAAATCCATGAGCAGTTTATAGATTTCAAAAAATACGAATGGAAGCACGAACCACGTCTTCCTCCTCGAATGCTCACCCTAGGCAAAGGTGCAGGTAGTAGGACTCTAGCCTCAACATGAAAAATATGAGGGCCCCCGGAGGGGTCAGTACTCCATAGAAGTACTAGTGACAAGCAGGCTATATGAAGAATAACTGATGTTTCAGACACGAGACCCAAAAATAGGGTGATATATATATAGATGTCTCTCATCCACCCGATGATACATACTGTATATATACTCGTAAAATACTCAACTCGTAGGTCATTTACCTTAAAGAGTCTTTTAGAGATAAAGTTCTTACCTGACTTTTCTCACTCCTTTCCCGGTTACCTAGCTCACCAGCTACATTCTACATTCATAATAACCTACCGAGTTTTGGGAGCGTTTAACATCCCGGGGATGCTCAACCCCAACCGAGTTTCAGGATCATTTAATGTCCCGGGGATACTCAACCCCAACCGAGTTTCAGGATCATTTGCAGTCCCGGGGATACTCAACCCCAACCGAGTTTCAGGATCATTTATAGTCCCGGGGATGCTCAACCCCAACCGAGTTTCAGGATCATTTATAGTCCCGGGGATGCTCAACCCCAACCGAGTTTCAGGATCATTTAATGTCCCGGGGATACTCAACCCCAAACTAAATCCTTACCGAACCCTATCCTGGATATGGCTAACCTTTCGTTCCTTCAACTATGGACAATACCTAGCCCTATAGTCATATAACCATCCTTAGGAACCAACGTGGGCGGGTCCCACCTGAACGGCCCACATTAACCCGCTCAAAACTGCCCGTTTTGAGCATAAACCAATACTCGATCGAGTATCTACCCATACTCGATCGAGTACAGGAGGCGGTAGCCCCCAAAGCTAATTTTCAATGTATACTCGATCGAGTATCTACCCATACTCGATCGGGTATAGGAGACAGTAGCCCCTGGGCAATTCTTCAGCAAATACCCGGTCGGGTATGTGTCAATACCCGGTCGGGTATGACAGTTGGCTTGGCGGTCAACACCCCTTTTGACCACCCAAACGGAGTCCGATTAACTTGAAATTTTATACACATATACTTCTTGATGTCCTTGATCCAAAAATACCATTTTGGATCCCTGGATCATCACACAAAATATGTTATCACATTTTTAATCACCAAACCTACATAACATGCTTTTCAACTATGTTTTATGTATAATCATGGCATAAGCAAACATTTGGTTATCTTTACTCATTTCATAAAACATATCCTTGATTACTTTAGGTAATCTCATGCCTCACGCAAAAGTTATAAATCATAAAGCCGTCTTCTCACCTTAATGAAGCTTATGAAGTTCTAGCCTTCCCGATTTAGCTCCGGTGAAACTCCGGCGAACTTCAACGGACTCCGGTGACAACTCCGGCGACACTTTCAACTCCGTGAAAGTTCCTTGAATACCTTAGACAAGTTACTAACAAGTTTTTATCATCATAAAACCCATATTAATTCAAATAACCTCCAAAAGGTTATTTTCCGGTGAACCGGTCACTTTGGCTTCTAAGTCCGTTCTTGGGCTTAGAACCACCTTCCAACCCCTCATTCTACACTTCCAAACGTGTAGAACAATCCTAGGGTGTGAAATATGATTGAATAATCATATAAGATGGTTTAAGAAAAAGGAATGGGATTAAAGAAGTCCTTACCTTGAAAATCTCAAGTTTTGCTCTCTAGCTTCCTCTTTTCTCTTCTCTATTTCTCCCCTTCTTCTTCGTTAGCCTTGGTGCGAAAATGGGTGAAGAATAAGGTGGTTGCAGAGCTTATATCACCTCAGTTGATGCCAAATCCGAATGGATGGCTGTAAGGGGTGATGAGAGTCTATTTTGGGCTCATTAGACAATGATGAGGGGTGGGGGGTCCTCTTGGAGTCAATTCTTGTCTCAACCTCCCCCCTAGCTCGGCTCTCTCATCCAAAGTCAGCATTTGCACACTCCTATAACCAACCAAGGCTGGAAAAAAACGTGGGGTGGCCCCCACCCATGTGGGAGGTCATCCCTTTATGTTCCCAAGTGTACAATCGGTCCCGAAAGTTGTATTTTCCGGACTGTTTTAAGTATATTTTATTTTATCGGGTCAAATAAAATATAACAATTGTTCCCAATCCTTATTGGACCTTAGAATCAATATGATTCCCCAACTTTAATTTAGAAATCTCCGGAATCCCTTTTTGGGTTGTTATCTGATAAATTGCCGATACCGATAATTTGGCCCCGTTTGACCAACCGGTCAACTCTATGCCATTGACATGGCCCAATTAGGATATCCATCACCATATACATATTATCTAGTCCAAGATTAATATAATATGTGCTTCCGATAATATCGGGCGGCCCACATCCGGTGTGGGCCCCACGTGAATTTTACTATTCACGTAAAAGAAATGATAAGAATTTACAATCACGTAAAAACGCTTTTTTACATTTCTCAGGGTTCAATACATAATTTGATGAAGTAAAAATACTTGGGGGCGGTGTTACAAGTTCTACCCCCCTTATTTGGGATTTCGTCCCCGAAATCCACGTGTCTAATCAAACAGAAATGGATATTGTTCCCTCATTAGGGTCTCCACTTCCCACGTTTGCTCCTCGACACGATCACTCTTCCAAAGTACTTTTACCATCGGCACCTCTTTTCTCCTTAGCTTCTTTACCTGTCGGTCTATGATTTTCACCGGCTGCACCGTATAGTGTAGGTCTTCTCGGATTTCCACCGGTGGTTTCTCAAGAATATGTGACGGGTCCCGCACATACTTCTTGAGCATAGAAACATGAAATACATTATGAATCTTTTCTAACTCTGGAGTCAACTGAAGTCGGTAAGCTACAACCCCAATCCTTTTTAGGATTTTGAACGAACCTATGTAACGTGGGTTAAGCTTACCTCGACTGAGGAACCTGATGATCCCTTTCCAAGGTGACACCCTCAGAAATACCTCGTCACCAACCTCAAACTCCAATGTCCTCTGACGTTTATCGGCATAGCTCTTCTGCCGGTCTTGAGCAGCCTTGAGCCTATCCTGTATGACTTTTATCTTCTCCTTAGTGATCTCGACTAACTCGGTGCCCTCGAGCTTAGCCTCACCGACCTCGTCCCAACGCAATGGTGTCCGACATTTCCTCCCATACAATGCTTCGTATGGAGGCATGCCTATACTCGCTCGATAACTGTTGTTATAGGCGAATTCCACTAAAGCCAACAGATTGTCCCAGTTTCCCTGGAACTCCAAGGCACATGCCCTTAACATGTCCTCCAAGATCTGAATCACTCGTTCAGATTGCCCATCCGTTTGAGGATGAAACGCGGTGCTAAACCTCAATTTCGTACCCATGGATTCCTGGAACTTAGGCCAAAACCGTGATGTGAACCGTGGGTCTCTATCCGATACTATAGTAACCGGAACCCCATGCAGTCTCACAATCTCATCTGTGTACAATTTGGCCAACCGCTCGAGCGTATAGGTAGTGTTGATAGGTAGGAAATGAGCGCTCTTGGTCAGCCTATCGACTACCACCCATACTGCATCATAGTTCCTAACCGTCCGTGGTAGACCCACCACGAAGTCCATGGTAACATGCTCCCACTTCCATTCTGGAATGGTAAGTGGTTGTAGTAACCCTGTTGGGTGTTGGTGCTCTGCCTTAACCTATTGACAAGTAAGGCAACGGCTCACATATTCTGCAATCTCTCTCTTCATCCCCGACCACCAGTAACTTTCTTTCAAGTCCCGGTACATCTTTGTACCGCCCGGGTGCATGGCATACGCAGATGAGTGAGCCTCCTCAAGGATAGATTTTCGGAGCCCCTCATCCGATGGCACACACACTCGTTCCTTGAATAGTAGAAGTCCATCTTCTCTCTCACGGAAACCTTCGACGGGCCCCACAAGCATCCGTTCCCGGATTTTCTGAAATTCCTCGTCATTGCCTTGACATGTTCTGATTTCATCTAATAAGGTGGGCCTCACCTCAAATCTGGCCAATAGCGCCCCATCCGTGGATATCTCCATGCGTGCCCTCAATGCCCGTAAGCATGTGAGTAAAACCCCTGATGATGAGCTCTTCCTGCTCAGTGCATCGGCTACTACATTAGCCTTGCCTAGATGATAGTCAATGATCAAGTTGTAATCCTTAATCAACTCCATCCATCTCCTCTGTCTCATGTTCAACTTTTTCTGAGTGAACACATACTTCAAGCTCTCGTGGTCGGTGTAAATGTGACACAACTCCCCGTAGAGGTAGTGCCTCCAAATATTCAATGCAAATACCACAGCACCTAGCTCCAGATCATGTGTGGGGTAGTTTACTTCATGCTTCCTCAACTGCCGAGAAGCATAAGCAATTACCTTCCCTGATTGCATCAGTACACATCCCAGTCCCTG